GTAAAAGTTCTGTTTAACTGTTTTAAATGGCCTATTATTTTAAACAAATTTGCATTTATACTTCTACAATTAAAGTGAATAATAGAAAGACCTTCATTTGTTATAGTAATACTGTTAAATTGCTCTTCATTGTAATATTCAGAGTCTGTAATTACAGGAAAACATTTGAATCAATTATATCATCTAAAGTGTATACTTTTACATGTATTCATATTTTAATTTGTATCCATTTTTCATTTGTATTATTGATTTTTTTTACCAAGTTGTTTCAACTGTTAAAGTTTGTAGTTTGTCCCATCTTTAACTCATCTTAATCSTTCTAGCTCTAAGTTCTGTCACTGTTCTGGCCTGTGTTCCTTCCTTTATTTTAATCCAAATGTTTCCGTTCCGTATTATGGGAGGCCTGAAAGCAGCCTGACATCATGTTTTTGGGTCTGTGGGAGKAAACCGGTGTACCCGGAGAAAACCCACACCAACATGAGGAAAACGTAAACTYCACACAGAAAGACTCCAGGTCCAAACCAAGGATCAACCCCAGAAATCAGGACTATTGGTGACCTGTGGGCCATGACTAAAGTCTGGCACACCACTTGGTTCATTAATCTCATACGTCCAAACTCCCCTTTTTCTGCAGTTATTATGCTTTAGTTAGAAACGTCAAAATCTTGACTAAAAGCTGGTGAAACCCATTTATATGAACACACAWAAAACTTAAAACTACAATGTTTATGTATTAATTTACTGTTATTTAACCAGRCAAAGCCCASTGAGATCACAGAGCTCTTTTGCAAGGCCAGCCTGGGCCTGAAGGCAGCCTGCTGTACATCTCTTTACAAGCAGCTGAAGATAAAACTAAGATGAGCAAAAATAAAATTGGATTTAAAAATGTGGCAAGTCAAAGCTGAGAGATGTCAAGATAATATTTGTATTAAATAGTGTAACATAATGTGTTCTTTTTGTTTTTGATGTTGTTTCAACATCACTGTGTTTTGGTGGCTGAGTTGTTAGAGGAGTTCTTTCCTCTCATCACATGTCGAAGTGACCCTGGGCAGGACACTGAACCCCAACACCTCTGATGTGTCCCATCAGTGTATGAAAGTGATT